TTTAAGCTTGCTGATTGTTTTTCTACCAGTTCAGATCTTCTGTTGAATTCTAGTGTATTTTTTGTTATTGTACTTTTCTACTTCATTTTTTTTTCAAAAATTTTAGTTCTTTGTTGATATTCTCTATTTGATGGGACATTGTCATCATACCTTTCTTCTTCAGGCATAATTTCCTTATTTTTCATATCTTTAATTTTGAACATTTCATCTTCTATATGTATTCTTACTCCGTTTTAATCAACTCTTTTTTTTAATCTCCTGATTTTTATGGTGTTTTTGAAGTTTTTATTGTGAAATTTAATTTAGAATTTTTTTTTTTCCTTTCCATGTCAGGGTTTGGCAAACCAAGGCTGGTAGGCCAAATCTAGTCTGCTGCAGATTTATGTAAAGAAAGTTTTATTAAAGTACAACTCTACCCAGCTATTTGTGTATTGTGTTTGTTTGCTTTTGCACTACAGTTGCAGAAAGGAATAGTTGTGACAGAGACTGTATGGCCTGCGAAGCATAAAATGCTGTCTAGTTCCTTATGTAAGAAAAGTTTTCCCAATTTCTTTCCTGTGGTATATTTGTGTAACCTGAGCTGTGGATGTATTTACAAGGATCATTTGCATCTGCTTTTACACTATCTATGGGACTTTTCTTGTTCACAGAATAGGTTTATATTCATGTTTTATTTGGTGGTTTGTTCAACAAATGTATGACGTGAATTTCAAATTACCATATATGCCTGACATATCCTTTAAGTTCTCACAAGTGATTTTTTACCCTTTAAGTTCTCACAAGTGATGTTTTTCTTTCATACACATATCCTAGGGGACTTAAAATTCTTTTCTGCATTTTGCAGAGCTTATGATGTGTTTAAATGCCTTTTTTCATAGATAGTTTCTACAGTTGATAGTATCACTTTATGAACATGGTTCAGTTTACCTTGCTTCCGTTAGGATGCCAAGAATTACATCTTCTTGGTCTTCTCGATTTTGGAACCCATACCTTCTAACCCTTCTTGTCTTTTCCATGTATGGTAAAATTTTGTTGCTAGATCAAACTTAACTTTACTATTCTTATTTGGAATGTCTGCTTCATTTCTAGTACCTGATAATTCTCATTTCTTTTAAAGTGGTATATGTATTGAAAAATGCTTTGGATAAATTTTTGTCTTAAATTTCTGTGTATATTTTTTAAGTTTATTAAGATTGTCAAAAAGATATTTTTAAATGTTGCACATCTGTTGCAGAGCAACTATTTTTCCAAAGTATGTACTTATTTGCATATCAAATGCTGAGTTGTCATTATATTGTATTTTAATTTTTTCTTGTTTGTGTGTCCATAAATGAGGAGCCATCTGGAGTGGTTTTAAAATTTACAGAAGATAGAATGGATGATTTCTCTAGTTTTATCCGTATTCAATAGCTACTGAGATATTAGATGATATTCGAACCTTTCAAGCAACAATGTAACCTCAACAGACTATTATGTGTAAGCTTACATTACCTATTCATCTAACACTCTTTTGGTAGTGGGGACTAGAACATAATCATAGGCTGACTAATGTATCATTTTTTTTTGTTGGTGTTTGATACAGCCATTATGTTTGGGTCCCCTTTTCTATAATATGCTTTCTCCTTTGCCATTGCTACTGTACTAGTTATAAAGTGTGACAATTATCAGACATTTTTTCTCCAGATATTTTTTGTGCAGTTAGGTCTAAAGTATACTGGCTTTCTGCATTATATATAAACCATGTCAGGTGCTTCCTTGACTCACACTTTCCACAAGATGGATGAAGGAATACTAGTGATACGCTTCTTGACTGCCCTGTGACTAACCTTTGTTTTCAGAATTTTTCTTACTCAGGAAAGGAGGGTTGAGTGGAATTTTCCCAGGGAACCTCTTTTAACATTAAGAGGTATTGTAGATTAATATCTTCTGGTTTTGTTTATGTAGGTCACCATACCAAAATGCCTGTCATTGCTGGTACATTTACTTATTATTTTAGTGTTAATCTGTGAGGGAGATGTTAGGTATGAGTGCTAAAATTAGCTGCCTTATTCAGATGTTAAAGCATTCAGTTTTCTAATGATTCTTCCAAATGGCCAGAAATTTCATGAAGTTCTTATAGTAACCCACTTCTTAACTTTAAATCTTCTGGTAATTCTTTATATGAGGTGGGCACTCAATAAATTTTGTTTTTATTTGAGTAAATTAATTAGTGGTGTCACAGAGTAAATTTTCTGTGAAACAATACCTTAAACTTTTAAGCATAATGTTATAAAATTAAAGTTCTAATAACATTATTGTAAAAATAATATGAATTCATTGTAGACAATTGGTCTAAAAAATCTTACTATAGTAAGATACCCATCATTAGCTTTTACATAAGCACATTTATACATCTAATCACAAATTGTCATCCTTTTGTTAAATTGATGTGTAAAATATGTACGTTTTATGGGTTTCAATGGGATGTTTCAATGCATGTATATGTTGTATAATGGTTGAATCATGGTAATTAGCATATCTATTACCTTAAACATTTACAATGTCTTTGTTATGAGAACATTCAGAATCCTCTCTTCTATTTGAAATGCATTATTGTTAGTTATAATCACCCGACTATGTTCTTGTACTCTTTTGCATAGTAGGTATTCCTTCTATCTGTAGCATTGTATGCATTAACCAACCTCTCCATAACTCCCCCTCCTCCTATCCTCTCCTGTTTCCTGTAATCATCATTATACTCTTAATGTCTATGAGATCTTTTTTTAAAGATACCATATATGATTGAGATTATGTGGTATTTGTTTTTCTGTACCTGGCTTATTTCACTTAACAAAATGTCATCTGAACTCATCCATGTCCCAAATGATGGGATTTTATTTTTTATGGCTTGTTTCATGGCTGAAAATATTTCATTATGTGTGTGTGTGTGTGTGTGTGTGTGTGTGTGTGTGTGTGTGTGTGTATAAAGTCCCTTTTCTCCACATACATACCAGCATTTGTTTTTTTTACTTCCTTGCTTGTGCATTCAGATTTTTTTTATCCCTTGTGAAGGTAACTGGATGTGTGGGTGATTATTCGGATTGATGCTTCTTCAGGAGTATGATTGTTGGAGAAACCTACTTTGCCCTTTTGCTCTGGTATCTTGAGTTCAACATTGCAATATTTCTAAATATAATACACTGTATCAATGGCTTCTCTTGATTTGTCATGAATATTTTTCCTTGTTATTAAATTTTCTCTGAGTTGTTTCATAATATAACATGGAATTTAAAAACATATTATGCTTTTTTCAATTTCATAAAGAGGATGATGAGCATTTTTTTATAACTGTGTATTTTCTATTTTTGTTTTTTTGCATTATGAGAAAATTTTTAAATTCTTTTATTTTTGTCTTTCTAAAATATATTATAATATAGTTGCACCTCTAAGAATTTCTATAAAGTATTTGGTTTTATTCTTTTGTGTGTCCGTTTCTTCCCCTATGCTAGGCTCTTGGGAATTCCTCTTACTTTCAAGTATTCTGAATATAAGAGGCAGTTTTACATGCTATTTAATATCTGTTTTATTTAAAATTCAAAGTTATATATGTGTATTTGTTTCTGTCATTGATTAGCTGTGTGGCTTTGTGTAGTTGCTTAACGCAGATTTCCTCATCTTAGAAACAGTTCCAAACACAGCAGCTTCCACATAGCATTGTTTTGAAGATTAAATTATAAAATTCATGTGTACCATGTGGTACTCTACTTGGCCAAGGCATGGTGTTTACAATGGTTAAAAATATATGCTTATGTATACTTACCAATCAGAATAGATACCAACTGCAAACTATTTGGCGTCAGCAGAATATTGGCTTTTCTCATGGAGTGAGAGAGCTCAATTAAATGCTAGTTGCTATCTTAGTTGTAATAAGTAAAATAATCATGAAGATGACAATTATGATAATTTTTGACCAAACAGTTACCAAACTAAGTTAATATTATGTCCCAAATAGCACAAAGAACTGAGCTTTCATATATGAACTTTACTCTGAAATTTTTTATTCTGCTGTAGTATTAACATCAAAACATGAAAGTCTTAGTTATACAGATATAGAAACAATCTCGTATTTTATATTTCATTCTGTTTAGTTCAAAGTTAAATAGACTTTCAGCTAAACCTTCAAGTTTTTCTTACCTAAGGAAGATGCACATTTATGCAAATTAATTCAGAAGTAGTATTTTTTTTTTTCACAAGATGGAGTCTTGCACTGTTGCCCAGGCTGGAGTGCAGTGGCACCATCTTGGCTCACTGCAACATCTGTTTCCCAGGTTTGAGAGATTCTCCTGCCTCAGCCACCCAAGTAGCTGAGATTACAGGCATGCACTACCATGTCTGGCTAATTTTTTTGTATTTTTAGTAGAGATAGGGTTTCACCAAGTTGGCCAGGCTGGTCTTGAACTCCTGACCTCACGTGGTCCCCCTGCCTTGCCCTCCCAAAATGCTGGGATTACAGACATGAGCCACCATGCCTGGCCCAAAAGTACTATTTTTATTAATTTTTACTGTTAGTTTACTTTAGTAAAAATCTATTGCCACATAATTTTCTATATTGATTGATTATTATTATGTATTAATACAATTAAGATGAGTTTTAGCACTTTATCAAAGTTATAATATTTAACCTTGTGTTTATATAACTTAACAGACATACCATTCTTATGAATTTTTAAGAATTATGCTAAAGAGTATTCCATCAGTAGTGATAGCTTTTATGTTCCAGTTCATCTTTAACCACAACACTGTAAAGAGGTTAAGGTAAAATTTCAACACATGATTTATTGTACACATTATCTTGCATTAAAACTTTGAGCTATATGTGTTATTAATTTTTAAACAAAACTTGGAAGGTGCTCTTTGGACATTTTTACAATCCAACTTTTTAAGATATATTCTTTGTTTTGATAGCTATTATACTTGATCTTATGTTAGATATTTGTAATACCTTTTACTGTTTTCTTTAGCTTGCCAGTGTAATGGACATAGCACTTGCATCAATAATAATGTGTGCGAACAGTGTAAAAATCTAACCACAGGAAAGCAGTGTCAAGATTGTATGCCAGGTTATTATGGAGATCCAACCAATGGAGGACAGTGCACAGGTAAGTTTCTTTTAAGCAAATTTTAGTGTATTTTTACTAAGGTAAAGATAATTAAGAAAGCAGCACCTGTTATGGAGAATACATATTAGTACAGAAAATGTTTTATTCAGTTTTACTATGTTTTCTAAGGAATATGTACTTATTAGCACTGTGAACTGTAAGAATTTATGATATGCTTGCTTCAAAAATATTAGTTTTATTTCAAAATGAGTGTATGTTCATTATTGTAATTTAACAAATACAGAGAAATAAAAGAAAAATTACCTACTCACTACTCAAAAATAATCATTGCTGATATTTTTTTAAAAAATAAAAAGTAGATTATTGTTATGACTTTAGAAATAAGAAATAATTAAAGGGTAAATGTGTACACTTTACATCAGGTAAGATTCTTATTGCACAGGGCAGTAGTATAGGATAGTATTTAAGAGCATATGGGTTTGGAACCAATTCTGGGTTGAAATCCCAACTCTGTCACTGTTCAAATGTATGACCTTGGTTCATTAACCTCTCAGTGTCTCATTTTTCCTGTATGTAAAATGGAGATGATAATAATTCATTGAGTTGTTGTAAAGATCAAATGAGATCATATGTAATATAGGCCTTAGGAACTGAAGCACATAAAAAAGAGCATTATAAAGGCTAACCATAATCATTGTATTCTTGTTTACTGAACTCTGCTTTCCTCCATCTTCCTGTCTATTCTGCTACTTCTTTCTTCTACTTTGCAAAGAATATTTGCTTTTAAATAAAATTTCCCTTTAAAGTTAAATTTAATAGAAATCCTTCTTTGTCTCTAGATTGGAACTTGCCTTTAAAATTTTTAATCTATCATCTCTAAATGGAGTTTGCCTATATAGCACCCACAGAAAAATGGTTTTTGCTATGAAAATGTGAGGAATTTTCAAAGAGGGAGTGGAGCCTGACTCTGTTTAAATAATTTTTTTTAACAGCTGGAAAGCTTTTAGAAATATGGATGTCTGGACTACTTTCTAAAACAATTAAATCATTATCTGGGTTGTAGTTGTAGGGTGAATCTTGGGTAATTGTTCTTTTAAAATGTTTACCAAGTGACTCTCCTACGCACTCAGAATTGAGACTCATGAGGAGTGATGAACTGATTCAACCTTTGAGTCAACACAATTGTGCAGCTAATACAGTTTTATTTTGGTATCCATGTGAATTAATTCCAAGACCCTTCCTGTATACCAACATCTGCAGGTGGTGAAGTCCCTTATATAGACTGGTGTAGTATTTTTATGTAACTGATGCACCTCCTCCTGTATACTTCAAATCATCTTTAGTTAGAATTCCTAATACAATGCCTACATTTCACTTTATTCACATGCATTCAAAGTATACTTGGTGCATGGCAAATTAAAATTTTGTGTCTTGGATTTTGTGTAATTGTTTTTCTGAATATTTTTGAATGGCTCTTGGTTGAGTTCATGGATATGGAAACCAGGGGTAAGGAGGGCCTACTGTAGTATGTTGGGTGACAAATAAAGATAGGTGAATGGAAGTTGTGTGATATACAGTGATCTGATCCATCTGAAGCTCTCACATAGATGCAATAGCTGACATTGAGCATTTTTTATATCCTAGGCACTGTCCTAATAGCTTTATAGTCATTATTTTATATTAGCTTTACAAAAACGGTATGGTATTACTTTGATCCTCATATTACATGTGAATAAAAATATTTAATACACAAAGAAATTTTCTAAAATACCCAAGATTATATTGCTAGTTAGAACAAGAAAATATTTCATTCCTAAACCCTGCTCTTAACTGTTAATGCAGGAGTTTTGTTAATATGGACCAGGAAGATCCATTTGTTCTCAGATAAAAGACACAGCTTAGTGCTCTCTCCAGTGGATACATAAGGTGCAGTAATTATGGTCAAGTGTAATCCACAAAATTTAGAGTCTACATCCTAGAGTCATAGTGTTTTTAAATTTTTTTTCTTAAATAAAAAGACCATGGTTTTCAAGACATACTCTTTCTGAAGTTTTTTACCACTGAATTTTGTATAGCTGTAAGTTTTATTGGAGAAAGTGCAGGTTTCAGATAGATTATGTGTTTTGATATATTGATTGCACAATTTTAAGAAAAAATATACTCTGAGATTTTTTATTCACATTACAATTTGTGTGTCTCTGTAAACTGTCATGTATTTAATATAAGATTGTGGTATTTTTTTTACTTTTATGAAAATTATTTTAGATATGTTTTCTAACATATTTTCATGCCCATATGTAATAGTTCATTCTGTAATTTACTTAATATGTTTCTGTTGGCATTTATATAATGCTTTTAAACATAACTCCAATTCTAGGGAATAACTTTCTAACAAAGTGAAACCTGCATAACAGATATTTAACTATCATAAGTAGACAATTCAGTGGCATTTAGTACATTTACAGTATTGTGCAACTATCATCTCTAATATTTTTAAGTTTTTAATTAAAAAAAAATCAATTTTTAATTTTTGTCAGTACATAGGTGTATATACTTACAGATTGCATTACATATCTTGATACAGGCATGCAATGTAAAATAATCACTTCAAGGAGAATGGGGTAACTATCTGCTCAAGCATTTATCCTTTGTGCTACAAGCAATCTAATTTTACTCTTTATTTCAAGTTATTTAAAAATGTCCAATTAAGTAACTATTGAGTATAGTCACCTTATTGTGCTATCGAATAGTAGGTCTTACTCATTCTTTCTATTGTTTTTGTGCCCCTTAACCATACCCCTTGCCCTCCAACCTCCAAAAAATATTGTTTTTTCTCATATTAAGCATCCCTCCCTTCTCCCAGCCCCACATTACCCTTCCCAGCCTGTGGTAACCATCCTTTTAGTCTCTATGATCATAAGTTCAATCGTTTTGATTTTTAGATTCCACAAATAAGTGAGAACATGCGATGTTTGTCTTTCTGTGCCTGGCTTATTTTACTTAACATAGTGATCTCCAGTTTTATCCATGTTGTGGCAAATGGCAGGATCTTACTCTTTTTAATGTACAAAATACCATAAAAATATATACCACATTTTCTTTATTCATTCATCTGTTAATGCAGCAGTCCCCAACATTTTTGACATCAGGAGTGGTTGTGGGGAAGACAGTTTTTCTACGGATGAGGTGGTGTTGGGGTATAGTTTACAGATTAAATGATTCTACCTCATATTATCAGGCATTGGTTAGATTCTTATAAGAAGTGTGCAGCCTAGATTCCTCACATGTAGAGTTCACAATAGGGTTCCAGCTCCTATGAGAATCTAATGCCACCACTGATCTGACAGGAGGCAGATCTCTGGCCTTAATGCTTGTTCACCCGCTGATCACCTCCTGTTGTGCAGTCGGTTCCTAACAGGAAATATACTGGTATCAGTTGCATCCAGGAGTTGGGACCGCTGTGTTAATGGACACTCAGGTTACTTCCAAACCTTATCTATTGTAAACAGTGCTGCAACATGGGAGTGCAGATATCTTTTTGATATACCAGTGTCCTTTTGTTTAGGTTTATACCCAGCAGTGGGATGGCTGTATCATATGGTTGCTCAACTTTTAGTTTTTTGAGGAACCTCCAAACTTTTCTCCATAGTGGTTGTACTAATTTACATTCCCACCAACAGTGTACAAGGATTCTGCTTTCTCCACATCCTCACAAGCGTTTGTTATTGTCTGGTTTTGGATATAAGCCATTTTAACTAGGGTGATAGCTCACTGCAGTTTTGATTTGAATTTCTCTGATGATCCATGATTTTGAGCACCTTTGCATATGCCTGTTTGCCATTTCTATGTCTTCTTTTGAGAAATATCCATTCAAATATTTTGCCCATTTTTTGATTAGATTATTAGATTTTTTTTTTCTGTGAGATTGTTACAGCTCCTTATATATTTGGGTTATTAATTCTTTGTCAGGTGAGTAGTTTGCAAATATTGTCTCCCATTCTGTAGGTTTTCTCTTCACTTTGTTGACTGTATCCTTTGCTGTGCAGAAGCTGTTTAACTTGTAATCCCATTTGTTCATTTTTGCTTTAGTTGCCTGTGCTTCAAGGGTATTTATTGTACAATAAATTTTGATCCAGACCAGTGTCCTGGAGATTTTCCCCAGTATTTTCTTCTGATAGTTTCATAGTTTGAGGTCTTAGCTTTAAGTCTTTATACCATATGCTTTTTATATATGGCAAGAGATAGGGTCTAGTTTCATTCTTCTGCATATAGACATCCAGTTTTCCCAGAACCATTTATTGAAGAGTCTGTCTTTTCCCCAGCATATGTTCTGAGCACCTTTGTCAAAAATGAAGTCACTGTAGCTGTGTCTATTTGTTTCTGAGTTCTCTGTTCTGTTCCATTGGACTATGTATCTGTTTTCATGCCACTATTACACTGTTTTGGTTACTATAGCTCCTAAGTATAATTTGAAGTGAGTTAATGTCATTTCTTCCATTCTTTTTGTTTTGGATAGCTTTGGCTATTCTGGGTCTTCTGTAGTTCCACATATACTTTAATATTGTTTTTCTTTTTTTCTGTTTCTGTGACAAATATCATTGTTATTTTAAGGGAGATTGCATTGTATCTGTAGACTGCCTTGGGTAATATGGACATTTTAACAATATTGATTCTTCCAAATTATGAATTGATTCTTCCAATGTATTTTTGGTGTTCTCTTCAATTTCTTTAATTAGTGTTTTATAGTTTTTGTTATAGAGATCTTTCACTTCTTTGGTTAATTCCCAGGTATTTAATTTTATGTATGGCTATTATATGTGGAATTACCTTTTAATATATTTTTTATATTGTTCACTTTTGGCTTATAGAAATGCTACTGATTTTTGTATGTTGATTTTGTATCTTGCAATTTTTCTGAATTTATTTATCAGTTCTAATAGATTTTTATGGAGTCTCTAGGTTTTTCCAAATATAAGCTCATGTTATCTGCAAACAAGGATAATTTGGCTTCCTCCTTTCCAGTTTGGATGCTGTTTATA